TATCAGACATTATGTTAGATAAAATGTCTGGTTTGTTTTGAGGCTCAAACTGCAACATGACTGTGTTAAAAACATCAACTTCCACATGTTTTCTCACAGTTGTTGGCATTTTATTGATTGGACAGATTTTAGTCTTTCTTGTTGACTTGTTTGTAAATGATGCAGCTGTGGAGATTTAATTTTCCAGGTGTTTTACAGCTTCCTGTCAGACCTGCCCTCCTGGATGGACTTGGTACGGAGGCTTCTGTTATATGTTTGACGCCACTGAAAGGGACTGGTACGATTCAGAGGTACGACAACTGTTTTCACTGGTTTTATGTCATGTCAAACACTGTAGTTACAGCCAGGTAAATCTCTCAAGTGCTAACATTTGAAGAATGAAGTAAAAACTGAATTTTTAAAGGTAAGACAGACAGTAGCTAAAACTGGAGCTAAAAGCTTAAGTTAGCAAAACAGCAACTCAACTAAAATGTTACAAAAAATTGTAACTCAAAGCAAAATTATAAATAGCAATATGCTAATTAAAGAAAATCTGTAACAAACAGTAACAAAATTAAAAATGAGTAAAATCATAGCTCTAAGCTAAACATAGTTAAATCTATGTAAAATCAAATTAGGTAAGCTACCGATAACTAAAATAAAAAAAACTAATTTGTAGCTAAATTATGGAAGCCCATTTCCGCCACCCTGATAAAAAAATAAAATTTGTATCTCATAATTATGACAAACTATCTCATAATTATGAGATACTATCTCATAATTATGACATACTATCTCATAATTATGACATACTATCTCATAATTATGACATYCTATCTCATAATTATGACATACTATCTCATAATTATGACATACTATCTCATAATTATGACATYCTATCTCATAATTATGACATACTATCTCATAATTATGACATACTATCTCATAATTATGACATGCTATCTCATAATTATGACATACTATCTCATAATTATGACATGCTATCTCATAATTATGACTTAGCTATCTCATAATTATGACGTACTATCTCATAATTATGAGATAGCTAAGTCATAATTATGAGATACAAGTTTTATTTATTTTTTTATCAGGGTGGCGGAAATGGGCTTCCATACTAAATAGTAAAGTAAGTAAAGTTTTATTTATAACGCGCCTTTCACAGAAATATATTCACAAGATGCTGTGCAATCATTAACAATGTAAAAATGGTGGAAAGATAAAATGAAACAGAGTAAAACATAATTAAACATAAGCAATATGGTAGCTAAACAGTAAATGTAACAATGCTGAAGCTAAAAGGTAAATATAGCAGAACTGTAGGTAAAAAAAATTAAAGAAGCAAAACTATTGAAAAATGTAATGATTAGCAAAACTGTAGCTATGCTAAGCATAGCAAAACAGTACTCACAGCAAAACTTAGCAAGACTTTAATATGCTATAAAAGCTACAAAATTATATATAATAGTGCAGCAGCTAAACACTAAATGTAGCTAAACTTTAGCTTCATGCTAAATTCAGCATAATTGAAGCTAAATAAAACTAGCAAACCCATAGTGAAACCACCTTTGACCAGATGACTTACTTCAAGTACAAATTTGAAAAACTACAGCCAAAAGCTAAAAAACAGAAAAGAAAATGCTGAAGTAGATTTCAGAGAAGAATGTTTTTTTCAAGAAAATGAACTAATTGTAAACAAAGTTAAATAAAATGAAAATGCTTTAGGACGATATAACTAACAGGGAAAACAGCGGTGTGGATGATGTCATGGCTTATTAGTGATGTCATGGTGTTGTGGGATTCACAGCTACATTTCTTATAACAAGGTTATAAAGAAAGTATTTTAGCAAGGATCATTTTATTTTCGGTAAAATATTCTTCCAGTGCAAAGTGACTGGACACACAATGAGTGGCTTCAGTCAGCGAATTTTGATTTGACCCATAAATAAATGTGATCATTTATTTTACATAATCAAACAAAATCACTACATTACACTTAATTGTGAGCAATCAGTTTCCTATAAAAGTTTGGAACCAACAATAACAAACACGCTTCGAGCTTCGTTAGGGCTGTGATTATTTCACTCGAGGAGACCCCTACAGTGTAATGGGGATGTAAAGATGTAATGTTAATGCCATGATGTAATGGTGATGTCATGGTGTAATGGTGATGTAATGACGTTATGGTGTCATGGTGATTTAAAGATGCAATGGTGAAGACATGTTTTAGTGATGTCATTGTGTAATGATGTCATGGTGATGTCATGGTGTAATGGTGATGTAAAGCTGTAATGGTGATAACATGGTTTATTAGTGATGTTATTGTATAATGGTCTTGTCATGATGACATAATGATGTCATGTATAATGGTGATTTCATGGTGATGTAATGGTGTAATGGTGGTGTAATTGTAATGAGTAATGGTGATGTAATGATCTTGGCATGGTGTAATGGTGATGTCATGGTAATGTGATGGTGTAATGGTGGTGTAATTGTGGTGTAATGGTGATGTAATGATCTTGGCATGGTGTAATGGTGATGTCATGGTAATGTGATGGTGTAATGGTGGTGTAATTGTGGTGTAATGGTGATGTAATGATCTTGGCATGGTGTAATGGTGATGTCATGGTAATGTGATGGTGTAATGGTGGTGTAATTGTGGTGTAATGTGTAATGGTGATGTAATGATCTTGTCATGGTGTAATGGTGACGTACAGCTGTAATGGTGATAACATGGTTTATTAATGAAGTCATGGTATAATGGTCTTGTCATGATGTCATAATGATGTCATGCATAATGGTGATTTCATTGTGATGTAATGGTGTAATTGTGATGTAATTGTAATGTGTAATGGTGATGTAATGATCTTGTCATGGTGTAATGGTGATGTAAAGCTGTAATGGTGATAACATGGTTTATTTATGATGTCATGATATAATGGTCTTGTTATGATGTCATAGTGATGTGACGATCATATCACTCTGGTGCTATCTTCTCTCCACTGGCTGCCCTGCCATGTTCGTGCAGATTTCAAAGTGCTGCTTCTCACCTATAAGGCCTTACATGGCCTAGCGCCTCCCTACCTCTCAGACCTTCTCCACCCTTACATTCCATCTCGTGCTCTCTGATCTCAGGGCACTGGTCTGTTGGTAATCCCTAAGGTCAGACGTAAAACTACCGATTAGTGATGTCATGGTATAATGGTCTTGTCATGATGTCAAAGTGATGTCATGGTGTAATGTGGTCTAATGATCTTGTCATGGCATAATGGTGATGTAATGATCTTGTCATGGTGTATTGGTGATGTAGTGATGTCATGGTGTATTGTGATGTAATGATCTTGTCATGGTGTGAGGTGTTGTAATGGTTGTCTAAAGTTGTTGGTTTGAATCTTCCCTCTCAGCGTTTCTGTAACTCAAAAGGTGCAAGTCTGGAGTCTCTGGAGACACAAAGTGAGTATGAGTTCGTCAGGGAACTGATCCGTAGATCAAAAGGATCCGACGTACCAGCCTGGGTTGGAGGCTACGATGCTGTGAAGGTCAGGGTTCTCTGAAATTTAAAAAAAAAATTTTTGACATCAAAATCTGTTGCAATGCATCAGTTGTTTTTATGGTTATGTTTTAATTGCACAATATCCTAAATAAATTAATTAATCCATTCAGAATGGAAATAAACTGAATTTATAAAACTTTTGTCTGACAGGAGGGTGTTTGGTTCTGGAGCGACGGGACGCCGTTCACATTTAATGGCTGGAGTCCAGGAGAACCAAGCAACAGTGGTGGAAATGAGAACTGCATGATGATCAACCTAAAAAGTACAAAAATAATTCATCTGAGGGTCACTCTTGATGTTGGGCTCAGAACTAAAAATCATTTATCAGWTGAAGTTTTGTTTTTGTTTTTCAGAGTATTTTTYACTTTTTCTAAATCTCCTTGTTTTTCACAGACAGAGATTACATCAACGATGCTCAGTGTAGCATCAAGCTTGGTGCTGTTTGTACCAGAAACCCATAAYTTGTCACTTCYACGCATCGGACTCGATGATGTCACTTCCAGCAGGAGGTCAAGCCTCGATGACGTCACTTCTGGGAGATAATCTGACATGTCTGATGTCTGATCAAACTACAGCCTCAAATAAATGTTTGTTCTCTGCAAACCTTTCTGCTGCCTGGGSTTTTGTTTGATTAGTAAAAAAAAAGTGCACAACTTGTCAGCATCGGACTTCCCAAAGGATTCATATCACATTTAAAATATAAATTAATGAAAACCAAAACCCAACAGATTTTTGATGGATAAAATACTGTTTTGTGTATAAATAAACATATAAAGCATAATAACAAGGGCCAAACAAAGTAAAACTTACCTAAATTAATCATGAACTGTAGTTTTTGTTCTTCTCATTTTTCTATGCTGATGGTTTTAGTCTATTCTTATATCGTTTATTAACCTTTATTTAACCAGGCAAGGCCTGGGCCTGAAGGCAACGTATTTGTTTATCTGTTGACTTGGTCCAGCACTGTCAGCTGACAGATAAGATTCTTTATGTTCGARGTTAGAGACCAAGTAGAGCGCTGTACGAATGGGTAAATGAAGGCAGATTGTGTGAAGCACTTGAGTATCCTGGTTGAAAATAATGGCGCTTTACAAGTACAGTCCTTTTACATGTTTTATCTTTTATTGGTTTCTTAACATGCTGCAGAAAACAGACTAACATCTGACAGATAKCACATTTATTTATTTATTTTGATTCAAGCATTCAGATTTAGTAACATCTGTTCATCCCAACTGTTTTCACAACTTTTATCCAAAGCCTTTTATGAGTAATAAAAATATAAAGAATATTAATGTTGTACTTTTAATTAACCTTGTGTTGGTTTAATATGGTTCTTAATTTACATTAATCAACACCTGAGTTTGCAGGTTTTTTTCACTATAAACATTTATTTATCATTAAACTTTCTAATCTGAACTCAGTCAGAAAWWATGCAAACAGGAAGCAAAGATTTTTTTCACTCAACATGCATTTATTTAAGTTATTAGTTTGAATCATCAGACATCAAAGTGTCAAATTGTCTCCCAGAAGTGACGTCATCGAGGCTTGACTTCCTGCTGGAAATGAAATCATCGTGTCGGGAAACAAGGACTCAGTTACGGATTTCTGCTACATATGAAAGAATTGCGTCGGCTGCAGATCGCATCATTGGAAAGCTCCTTTCCTGTTAAACAACAAAACACATTAAACATTAAGAGTCTTGAGGGTTTTTTCTAAATAATGTTTAAGATAAAAACTAATAAAGTTGAATAAGACAACATTCAGCAGCACTGCTTGTTAGTTTGTTTCTGAAACCAATTTTAAATTTGTACAAGTCGCGGTATGATGAGTTAAATAAATCTGAACTTGTAAAAATACGTAGTTTCACTAAATACTAAAACGGTCTGTACGAAGAAACTGGAGCAACTGGAGAAAACCTGGCAAACCAGAACATAAATATTTGTAGACGATTTATTTGTTCTTTAAAAGAGCTTCATTAAATTTGGTCGACTGGTTCATAAGATATTTTTCTAACAGACACACACATGAACACACACTCAGAAGTGTGTAAAACATTATTCCTGCAACTCATATTTGGGCAGCAGGCAATAAAAACAAAACTAGAAATAAACCTTCAGTAAAATTTGTACCGTTCATGTTGATCTCCATGCAGTTCTGATTTCCACCTCTGTTGTCCGGTTCTCCTGGAGCCCAGAAGCTGTACGTCTTGTCAAATTTTGTACCGTCACTCCACAACCAACCACCCTCCTGTGAGAGGAAGCATTCAAAAGTCAGTTCATGTTTTTATTTTCCTGCCGTTAGTGCAGACTCTGTTTMTACCAACAGAGCATTCTGTAATGTAACTCACAGAAAACCTCATTGTAAAACTTGACAGCAAAGATTTCTTTTGTCACATCAGTCCTTCATGACTGGTAACGAGTAAAGAACTGAAAATGAACATAAAAGAATTAATATTAGGAAACAAAACTCTCACTTTTACTGCATCGTTGGCTCCAACCCAGGTCCTTTTGTTTGTTCCTGTGTCTTTAAAGATCATCTCCCTGAGGAAGTCGTGTTGCTTTTTAGAACTAATGGAGGCCAGGTTTCCACCCAGGAAGTTGCAGTGACGCTGAGAGGAAAAATACGACCCAAACCGACATCAAACATCAGTTATTATTGTAATATAATAAATTATATTAGGTGTCCTAAATGTGCTGGTAAAAACGGGTTGTGCTTCAACAACAAATTTAACTCAATATCCTCTGCACTAAAGAGGAGGACCATCCAGACTGTTAACAGTTCAAAAGCCTGCCTCTCTGATGGTATAGGGGTGCATTAGTGTTTCTAGCATGGGGCAGCAGACCTCCGGAAAAACTCCAACAATACAGAAAAGTATCTTCATGTTTTAGAACATCTGCTCCCATCCAGAACTGTGAAACAGTTCAAATCACTCAAACCTCATCCTCTGCCCACATCACTGCAGAAACTGTCCATCTTACCAAGTTCTAATATCTTATATCAGACAAAAAGTCTTTTTGATCTTGTTTTCAGACTGATTTACTA